GGAGGAGGGAGTAGAGCCACACTTCTTGAACTGACTGCAGCCGTGTCCCATGTATTCACAAGTCTCATTAATCGCTCAGTTAGGGAGGTTCCAGCATCAGGATTTGTGGAAGCACACCTTCTCATTGACAAATCACTCGGAGATGCTTGCATTGGAGGGACAGTAGACGTAGACATGTCTAATGGGACTCTACAACTCATGGGGTCTGTGTAGGTGTCTGGGATACCTCTCAGTGGGGAGTTGCAAGATGACGAAGGGGTTTTCTTGAAGGACTGAAAGGCATGAGGTGTGCTTATTCCACAGGTGTGTGGAAGGGGATTTCTTCGCCATAGAGAACCCATAGGAGAATCAAATTTTCCTCTAGGAGGGAACTAAAATTCCAAAGCATAAATTGTCATTTTATTACCAATTAAAAAATATGCCCGTTGATGATGGGAAAAATTCCCACCTGTGTTGGATTAAATCCCATAAGATATTTCGTAAAGACTGAATAAGCCCCGTTTAAGAAGATGTTCTCAAATGTCTTTAGATTCATTGGCATAGCTGCGGTAGGTTTGATCTGATTCATTACTTGTTCAGAAGGTGGAGAACAAGCGATAGAATGCTTTTCAATGCCTGATCGTCGTGGTACACTCATTCTTGCCCGAAATGGGGGGGAAGGGACATCAGTTAAGCGTGGGTGCTTGCGAACTCCCGCAGTTTCCATTCGACTCCCTCTAGGACATGTTTGCCTCAGTCTTGGCACACTGGTTGCACAGAAAGGATCGCTATCACCACAGAAATCTCCTCCTCGACGGAAGTACTGCGTGACTAGGTCATGGTAGAGGCGTTGACGCTCAGATTCTGACATTGAGAGGAGTTCAGCATGTCGACGAATTGTGTGGCGCTTGATTGTGTCAAGTTTTCGCTGGGTCATAATCTTATGGCATACAAGGCACATCACCTAAAAGCAGATTACATTAAAACACATTGAATTCACCTCTTTCCTGCCTTTTAAAGAAGCCTAGAATTAAAGGGATTAATTTGTACACAAGGCAATTCATTCAGTCAGCACAAAAGGAGGATGTGTAACTGCTCGCATTTGCAATGTATACATTCACGGGCGTAGATGTAGTGTGAAATGAATCATGGGTGGGAAGAAGAAGGGCAAGTAACTGCCACAGCAGTGTCACCTAAACATGGTATACATAATATACCTATATTGGCGCCTGCGCGCCTGCCAGAAGACAACTGTTCTTCACACCCTTCATAAGTGCCATTACAGAATCCCACTGCCCCTTACCACTCTTCCAGACCGCCTTGCAGACACACTGGCGCCTCTAAAGCCTGTCGTCAGCTGTTTAGGGGCGTTTTTTCTGTTGGGATTCATGCACACTGTACATTTGGGGACTCCGCCGCAACTTATTATGTTCGTCTGTACTACGAATACGCCACAAATCTCATTCTTTAGAACCATTACTGCT